CGTGCCATATCAGGTGGAGACACGTGCCGCGAAGACACCTGGAGACAGGAGACACCTGTCACTGTGTATTTTTTGTATATTCTATGTGATTTGAGAGGGTTTTTACTTACAGGGAACAATGGGCTGTTGTCAAGCATGTACACACACAGTCTCCGCAAATTAAGATGATGATTTGTGTTATTTATTATCATTAAAAATTATTGTAAATAATCATAAGTTATACAAGAGAAAATAGTTTATTCAAAAAATAACCTATTTTATTTTAAGAAGTTCAATGAAAGAACAAGCTATTTAGAATTTCGATTTCAATGTTCATTACTGATTTAAAATAAAATAATCCCGTTTAAAAATTAAATAATTTTCCATAGGTATAGAATAAATATAAATACTCGTCGTGTATAATTATATTAAATCATAATCACTTTATGTAGATCAATGCCATTAAAACGGTACTTAATTAATAGTCTTGTTGATGTTTTGTGTTAAATTTGTAATCCAACTACAAAGACATCTATAAAATAATGATTAAAATATAAGAAAAATATTAATATTCATATAAAAACGTTTTTTTTTCTTAATTTCTTTTGAATTTAAATATGTTCGCAGATCCCTGTATAGTAAACATCTGCACTTTTCGCATGAAACAAAGGTCCAAATGCACACTGTATATATTAAAAAACCATTTTTCCCCTCCAAAGGCCATTGCTCTACATGTAACTAAAGAAAAATCTGTAAAATTTTACATTTATATTTTGTTTTTTCTTAAGAACAACGGCTTTTTGGTGTGTAGTGCATGCTAAGGCAATCTATTAAAAGAACTGAGTGTGTTTATTGTATTATTGTGCATTTTCTGTTGATGTCTTTATATAAAGATGAGAAGGTTTTTAATTAATACAACTACAAACATTTCTTTATCTACGTTGTCCACTACTTTTTTTTCTACATGCTGTAAATTACTCTTATATATATATATATATATATATATATATAAATATATGCGTGTTCTTAAATTTGACTAGACTAGGCCTGCAGGTAAGTAATTTCAGTTTGGGTAATAAACTTACCGGGAATTTTTTTTTTTTACTTGCATGCTTTACCAAATTTCCTGAACGAAAAAAAAGTACATGAGAAGAGATACAGGGCGGGACCAGCTAAAGTTGTGTGCATAAACTCACAGCCCTTCAGATTAACAAGTATCTATCGACAGTATATGAATTTTGACAAAATCTTTCCAATGACCCAATTATACCAGTCACGACTAAAATACTGAATTAATATACTGTTAATTTTTCCTGCCTTTGACTAGATATTAGTTTTGTTCCACCTTGTGATAACTCTCCTAAAAAAAGGGGGTTTTGACATTCTGATAAATTAAACAATACTACATGTTAAAATCATGTGGGAAATTTATTTAACTAAAGGCCAATAGGTTTCAAATACAATATAGCAAATATAGAAGCAATTCAGCAATCACCTTCACCAGTAATAATTATATTGTAGCTCATTTTAATGCCTTTTAGCACATTTTAAAAAATATACATCGTTATGATGTGACATTATAAAATTCATAATTACAACCGTTAAAAGTAGCGAGGAGTGGGGGGGGGGTATTACTTTCAGCTAGGACGGCCACTATACCTACAACCAAGCCCCAAAACCCCCACCCCAAAATCAAATAATTTGAGTTGTTATTCCAGAAAGAATTTTTTCTCTAGGTGGCACAAGCGATTTTTTTTTTAAAAAACGTTTTCGATCTATACTAGGCCGACACATCGTATCGGCAAAAAATATTTAGGAGCCCCCTCTTTATTCCATGAACAGGGAAAAACTTCATTAAATTCTAATATAAGATGTCATAATCATACTTAATCATAATGAATTTTTTTCCCCATCCTGCATCGCTCTGCAGGTGCTTTATTTTCATTGGTCAATTTATCGAGGCGCCATTTTTCGAGGATTGAGAAGGACGAAGAAGAAGGTGTAAGCAGCTGGTAAATGTGAAAAGTTAATGATGTTTTCACCACCCAGTGTCTTTAAGACTGTGATAAATGCAGGGAACATCAACCAAGGATTAGTGTATGTATATTTTTGTTAATTTTTTACGGTAAATAATTGTAATATTGGGCCCCAAATCTTCACTGTCGTAGACAACTTTTGTTTCTGACGCCATTTTGAAAAGTTGGAATTTATCTAATATTCTTAGCCTTTCGTACATATATTGCAAGAAATGAAAGGGAAATTTGAGTGATATGACATACTTAATTTACTTCCCTGTAATAAATAGACAACGTAGGCCTCCAAGCACCGTACATGTATGTGTTCCATACTATATGTTGTAAAATGGCTACGTTTCGCCTTTTAATAAAATGAATGCTCAATATAATAGTTTAATAGTGCTCTGTGTGTATGTACAAATGAGTTCTTTTAAAGCGGATTTTTTAAATTTATTTTTTAATTTTTACCACCTCTATTTATTCGGATGATAATATTGGTGTCGAGTGGTTACGACCCATTCTGGGTTCGACCCGCGTGGTAACGACCCGAGTGGTTTCGACCTACTTATATATGTATATACAGGTAAATAGGAGGGTTCAGGGCTTCACACTATAGGGTATACACATGGATATTCGGTAGCAATTACAGGTGTATGGTTTCAGGTATAAGGGGAATACGTGTCATTAATTGGTTGTCAACATTGAAGTCAAAAGTATAGGTGTTTTTTTTTTAATGATTTTAGGGCAAGGATGTAATTAAATTCAATTGAAATATGATAATAATTTATATCTGAGCATTTTCCCCTTAGAAACAAATTGAAAATTCAAACAAATTATAGGTCTTGGTTGGATATTTATTTAATTCATAATATTGTCTGAGTGTTTTAATTTTTAATTATTCACAGTACACAAACATGTCAAAACATTTCTGCAGACTTATACTGGTAAAGGAATGAACAAAATATGCTGGTGATTATTTCATAATTCTAAAATATCAATAAATTATATCTTTTAGATTTCTGTGGGATAGCTTTCCAGGCTCCTGAAATGATGGTCAAGATATTAGATTATATAAACAACAACAAAAAAATGTTAAGTATTTTTTTGTATTCTTAAAGAAATCAATCATATTGATATCAATTAAATAATTATTTCAATTACAAACAGAAACATTATTCTTTCATTTTTATTTTACAATTACAAATAGATTAATCATTAATTCATTTTTATTTTTTATTGTATTTATTGTATTTGTTGAACTCACCCTGCTCAAAATCCACCATGAACATCTCCACGGTTGGTGGTGTAGGCAAAGCAGACAAGATGCCTTGAAAGACCTGAAGAAAAATTACTAAAATTACTAATCATGTATGACTATAAAATTTAAAAAGTGTTTGAAAGTTGTTTTTTTTTAATTCTATTGACAAGAAGAGACTTTGGATTAATATATAATTATATATATATAGGATAAAGGATAACATTGAAAAGATACATTTACTTTTTTTAAGTATATCTTTGAAAGTTAGAGGGAATGATACCTTAGCATAGTCTCCCTCTTGCATTTTGAATGTAAATTTTTCTCCGAATGTAGAAAAAAAAATATCTTCCCAGAAATATTGTAATAGTCCAAAGTTTTTTTCAAATTATCAGAATTGTTGTCATCTGCTGACTCCAAACTATTGATTAAACTATGCTGTTAGATAAATAGAGTATATGAAAAAGTCTGTCCTCTATAGTTATCTTTGTTACTTTATATGAATATTTCTGCCATTTCACATGTATCTTGTACATTATTTTTTGTATATATACAGGGTTGGAAATTACAGCCCGCCCGACCGCCCGAGACGGTCTGTTTCTCAGGCGGGCGGGTACAAAACTTCAGATGACAGCCCGGTGGTCGGGCTAATTTCAATAGTTAAAAACTATTTTTAAACCCAGAATTTCTATTTTCTATTTTTACTTCGTTTACCTCATTAACAAAAATCTCAATCTGCAGACTCTCGGTATCGTTTTGAATTAGGTAAGATGTAAATTGTTATCTATTCGCTCATTGGTCTGTATGAATGTTTCAGCCAACCAGCGTGCACAATACAATTCATATTCGGCAATAATGAATGCAAGATGATGCGTAAGTTTTTGGGGCTGTCGACGCCAGAAAAAGCGTCCTTTGCTTGACTCAAAGGAAAAAAATAAGGCATATGACCAAAACAAAAGATGCAGAACGATAGTTCCTCGTTGGAAGGAAGAATTCAAGTGGTTAATCAGCGATGAAACCCACGGAAAGCTCTTTTGTCAAAAATGTCGGGGGGTGTATGGACCGTTGGCAGTTAAGAAGAGCGCATCCGACAGAATAAAGCGATATGCAAATGGACCGTTTGTGGTAGGTTCAACAAACCTTAGACATGACGCACTTACAACACATGAAAAGTCGGAAGGTCACAAATATGCTGTAGAATTTACAATTTCTAGAAACAAGCCATTAGGCGAAAGTTCTGCAGAAAAAATACTTCATTCATTAAACCATGCTACTGTTTTAAAACTAGAGAAACTGTTTCGAAATGCACATGCCATAGCCAAAAAGTCGAGACCTATTACAGATTACGTGTGGTTATGTGAACTTGATGAGAAGAAAGGTGTTGATTTAGGTAGTACTTATAAGAACCACAAAAGTTGTAAAGAGTTCATGGTTTCCATAGCCGAGGTTGAAAGAGAGAAGATAGAAGAAAAACTAGCACAAGTTAACTTTTGCACAATCATGTCTGATGGGTCGACAGATATTTCAGTGTCTGAAAATGAGATAGTCTACATTCATTTTGCTCACAGAGGTGTTCCATATTGTTTTTTTCTTGGGTTGATTGAATGTGAGTCAGCAAATTCAGAAGGAATTTACAATGCAATTAAAAAGGCACTGCATTTTAAAAACATTTCTGCAGAAGATATTCTTGAGAAAACTATTGCGTTTGCTGGAGATGGTGCATCAGTGAACACAGGGCATCTCAATGGTGTGATAGCACATTTCCGCAGGAATGTTAGTCAGTCTATCATCATGGTCCAGTGCATGTCTCACAGGGTTGAGCTGGCTTATAAAGCTGCTTTGAAGGTGAGGGAATTAATTTATTAAACCTAATTTCTAATCAGTAATTTTCTTATTAAAAAAAAAAATAATGATAAAATTATTTTGTCATGGCTTACAATTTTCACATGTATAATTATAGGTAGCACCAGCATTTACTAAGGTGCATTGCTTGCTAGATGAACTTTTCAAATTTTACCACAAAAGTGCCAACCAAACCAAAAATTTAAAGAATACTTTCGTTGCCCTTGGCATGTCCCAAAGTCTTCCTACCAGGATAGGCGGAACAAGGTGGCTGGGCCATGTGCAGACAGCATTAAAGAGCTTGTGGAAAGGCTATAAAGCCTTTGTCACACACCTTAGCCAGGTTTGAAATAATGAGACTTTTTAAATTTATTGTATTTCTTATGTAAGTGTATCATTGTATGTGAAGTTACAGGTTATAATTTAAGAATGTTGTTAAAGTGTAATAAATTAACAGGCAGGTTGCTTGTAAAAGAAGTGGACAGTCAGCAACACAGTCAAAGGCAAAGTACTTGGTCAAACTTCTGCGGTCTAAGGATGTTATCATCTTTGCTCATTTCCTTACTGATCTTGTTGGTGTTCTAACCAAGTTCTCCATGTGTCTACAAACGAGAGCAACATGTTTTTATGAAGTCCACCAAGAATTGCAATGTACCATTGCAAACATTAAAAAGCTAGAAAACAGGTGAATGAATTTTTCATGTGTCAATATTATCATTGCACGCATGTGTACTCACCTTTACTAAGGATGCTTTTTCACGATTGATCATATATTACATTGGAAACCTCTGTCTCTCTCAATCTCTGCTTGCTTGCACATTTATATAATATATATGTACATATATCATGTGTGTTCCACTTAGCCCTAGCTTCTTTGTAACTTTCTATTTCCAATATTATTAAAATAGCCTAGTAGAATACTAATCAAATTAATATTGGATGTGTAGTTGCACAGCTTTCTTGCTTTGTTATGTCTAAGCATGCTAGTGATTCACATTTCCAGACCTGGTCCTGAATTTAGAAAAATTGTTGAAGCTGGAGATCAGTTTGAAGGGGAGACACTCTGTGGAAATGAATTATCCTCTGATCAAATAAAAAGAGTGTTGAAAGGTTTGACAGATAGTTTGGAGGGCAGGTTCAGTGATGTGAATGATGGAGTGAAAAATGCAACCAAAATTGCTGATCTCACATCCTGGCCTGCAACACTGGAAGAGGCTACTGGTATTAAATGGCTATTAAATATGTAAATAGTTGGACTAAAATATTCATTCCAGTAGCTAGCTTTTATTTAAACCAATGTTACTTATCATGATTGATATATATATGTATATCAGTATACTATTCATTATTACTACAAATCTTTTCAAGTTTTATGTACCCAGGTATGTAAATGTAATTGTTGAAATCATTTTTAAATCTGAAAATTATCAATTGTTTTGTAGATTTTGGTGATGAGATGGTGCAGACTTTGGTTGATCATTACCGCCAACAACTACTGAATAAGGAACTTGATGTGGGGCTTATTGAGTCAGAATGGACAGTGTTAAAAAATGTTTTGTATAAC